CTTTATGGAATTTAAGCAAGCCACTTCATGACCAATTGCAGGGAAACTAAGTATTCATGAACGGCTGGCCACCTTCATTGCATATCTAAATGAGGTATCCTTTCAAAGTGCATATTTGTGAAGCCAACAGGTTTTGTCCCATTGTTAGATAAACTAACTCTGGCACCGAACTGTCTGAAAGAGGATTTTCAGCAAAGACGCCTGTTATACAGTAAAGAAGGTGTAATTAATAGAATATTCCCTTTGGCAACTATGGTATCTATAGAAGAGGAATTTATGGGAAGACATATTGCACATCCGCACTGATAAAGCTCTAACTGAAATATGTTCATAATACAATATTATTTACAGTGTTTAATGAAGATTTCACATAAACTCATTAACATCTGGAGAGAGAAGCTCTCCAGAACATGAGCCATATCTTGATCGTGTGTTTGTGCGGGTGCAGCATGTAAAGATGTAAGGTGGTGCCTGAACTCATCTAGTATCTTAATAGGATTGCTAGTAAGGACACTATGTCCTGTTCACAAGGTAATCAGGGAATGTTTCAGAGCAAAAGTACAAAGTTGTTTTGCCAGCATCGTATCAGGTTTATTAGCCTTTGCATACCATTTTTGACGGGTCCAACGAAGGGTCCGTTCTGCCAAGTCCGTCAAAAAAAGATCGAGTTCAGCACAAGCCTGATGTAGAAGTTTAAGGTGAGACCTGGTGGGGGATTTCTTAAATTCACTAGAGCGTTTTCCAAATTGATTTCCAGTTGGTTATTTATGCAAATGCTCTTTTTTACGTTTAGACGCTATCTGAATAATATGTCCCCAAAGTACCATCTTGTAAGCTTCCCAAAATGTTACTGGGGAGGAAACCGACCCTGCATTAAGCTCGAAATATTCTTGGGAGTTTTGTAGGACTGCCTGAATCTTGTTAACGAAAAACAAGGAGTCATTCATGATCCAAGGGGCGTATTGAGATTTGCAAAGTAAGGAGCTGCAAGAAACTAGAATTGGGTCATGATCTGACCAAGGAATCGTCATTATGGTAGTTGAAAGGACCGTGGGAAGGCTATTACAGTGCATAAAGACATGGTCAATCCTAGACTGGGAATTATGCAGATGCGTATAGTCTTTCCTTAAAGGATGGAGCTCCCTCCAAAGATCCACCAGGCCATGGTCAGTAAGAAGTTGACAAAAGTGATTAGCAGCAGTTGACATAGTGGAGTCATTGACTGGATATTTATCCAACTTGGGGTTCAGGACTAAATTTGAATCACCTGCCAGCAAGAGCAGCCTACTTTGTGGGTTGCCAAGATCGAACATATGTGAAACAGAAAGGGACCTGGGTTAGCATTGGGAGCATAATAGGTCATACCATGACCTCAGTATCTTGGCTGGTGCCTTGAAGCAGTAAATATTTACCATCAAGGTCAGCTATTTGTTTTTTACAAGTAAAAGGGGTAGATTTGTGGAATGCAATCAACACCCCTCTGTTTCGTGGGGCCATTGGCCTGAAATACAAAAGGGCAGCAGTCATCAAATTATTTAGGATAAGAGGTAGCCGAAAAATGGGTTTCCTGTAGGCAAGCTACAGGAACTCTATTTCTGAAGGAAGAGAAAACTTTCACTTGTTTCTGTGGAGAATGCAAACCCTGGATATTAAAAGATAACCAGTTAAGTGCCATCGCCAAGTTGGAGGGCTATTGGCTTCCACGTCACCCCCCAAGACCAGGAAAAAGAAAAGGGAAAGAGCAAGAAGAAAAGCAGGTTGAAGAGGAAAATGAAGCGTAAGGACAAGTCAAGGATAAGCCTAATATGGCTCATAACACATATAGTAAGCACAAGTGCAACAAAAGGTGAGCAGGAAAGCCCACAAAAAGGCTGGTTATGTGTGGCAGGACAGCCATCTATAGTAAAAGCCAGGTGTGGGGGTGCAGGTATCCACCTGAACAGCGTGGCAATTTAAGTAGTGGCACATATTAAACAGAAAAATGGCCAAACATGGGCTCATAGTAGTCAGAGTCAAAACATAAAAAAATGGTAACATCAATCATGGCCGCATCTACTCGGAAGGACGAGGCCACGATAAGGGCCTGGGTATGCTGCTTAGATAATGCACGGAAGAACCCAAGGGGCGCTTGACCGTGCGTCATACACAGGAACTTAAGATAAAGTTTCCGAGCAGGCGAGGCCAGAATTCCGACTCTCAAATGCAGGTAAGGGTTAAAAAAAAGAAAACACAAACGAGTATGGTAGCATTAACCGTTTGAACTATAGGCATGGCAGCCTGACAAAGGGCTGACATATAGGCCACTAGCAAAAAATAAGAAAAAAGGCACTCAAAGAAATTGTCATACTCAGCCAGGGGCAACTTCAGTGAAGCGTTGGACTTGCAAGGTGTGAAGAGCCTGAGAACTTTGAAGAGAGAATTGGGATAATTTGCAGTGAAGTGCAGCTTGAGATTGTCGGGATTGTGATGATCTGGAAGGCTTGGTTGACGAAGATGATCATTCTTGAGACGGAGGAAGATCGAATTAGAGATCTTGAAAATGGCGGCGAAGTTCCTCTGGGTTGGCAGCTTGATATTGACGATGATAAAAGGAGGAGAGTTTAAACAGGAAACCCCATTTGTATTTAATGCCCCAAGATTGCAAAGTCTGCAGATATGGTTTTAAAGTCCGCCATTTGGCAGTGGTGATTGGCGAGATGTCAGCAAATAATTGGAGCGAGGTGCCCTGAAAGGTGAGATCTTGACGACCACGGGCCTTTTGTACGATAATAGTGGAACTTCATGATAACATCCCGTGGGGGACTATCTGGGCGCTTTGTTGCCAGGGCACGTTGTATGCGATTCAATTCCAGGAGCTCTAGTGGGACCTTGAGTGCCAATTCCTGAAAAAAGGCAGTAGCTGTGCCCTGCATGTCAGTGATCATCTCCAGTAGGCCTCAGAGTCGCAGATTATCTTTCGGGGCCCGATTTTCAGCATCCTCCAATTTATCACGAAGTTGATTTAAAGCAGCCTCATGGTTATCCACTTCCAGCTCGTGGCCTTCTTAGACAGTGGTAACCAGATCCATGTGGCTCTCTGGTGCGATGCCCTAATTCCCTGAGGCCTTTAGTGAGGTCCGAGGAAAGTGCGTGAAGCCACTGCTTCTTCTGCCCCATCATTGGTGTCAGTGACACCAATGATGGGGCACTATTTCTTCCACACTGACACTAATGATGATGATGAGGCACTATTCCTCCCACACTGACACTAATGATGGGGCACTATTCCTCCCACACTGAATAAATACTAGATATTGGATGAAGCGCTCTGCTATAATAGCACAATTTGGATGAAGAAGCACTTATTTATATATATTATTTTTTTCACAAAAGAGTGATAGCATGATTTTGCACATGATGATAATACATGTATATTGATTGCAATTTAAACACTTGCCACTTTTTGATTATTCACTGTGATTTTTTTATTATATTTATGAAGACACTATTTATGTAATCAAGCACTTGGTCACTTTTGTTTAGTTGTGTGTGCACATGTATAACCAGTTTAGCCACTTGGGGGCAGACTGGTTTTATAATATATATATATATATATATATATATATATATATATATATATATATATATATATATATATATATTATTATTATATATATTTATTTATTTATTTATTTTTACACATATTATTAAGCACTAGTCACTTTTGTCTTTTTATATATATTTCTGTATAATATTTTGGTTTTGTGTATAGCACTATTATAGCAGAGTGCTTCCTCCAATATCTAGTATTCTGTGTGTCCCATGGTATAGGGTGTAGATGTTAGCAGCTAGCTATATTTAGGCAGTCTGTGGAGCGCAGGAGGATACTTATATTGTCTACTTTATTCCTCCCACACTGACACTAATGATGGGGCACTATTCCTCCCACTGACACCAATGATGGGGCACTATTCCTCCCACTGACACTAAGGACGGGGCACTATTCCTCCCACACTGACACTAATGATGGGGCACTATTCCTCCCACACTGACACTAATGATGGAGCACTATTTCTCCAAATGGCACCGATAATGGAACAGAGGAAGGGTAGAGTTTACAGATGAAAGGGTGGATCTTAAACAGGAAAGGGTGAGACTAATTTAGATGGGGGGGTGCCTGATTTTAGTCTTGCCTAGGGCAGCACAATACCAAAATGCACCACTGGCTCTCACAGTCTATCTTGGCTGACAAATTAGTTCACTTAACCTGTCTGTGGGGCTGCTTTGCAAGCATGCTGATGTCACAACTGAGGAGTTGCAGAGAGAAGGGCTGTCAAGATTAAACATGACACCCTCAGCCTGGGTTCACACTGATGCAGTGTGAAATTTGCACAGGTTTCTGTGATTTCCGCACCACATCATAATCGCACCCCGTTCACACAAACCATCGCGGGTGTGTATTTTAAGTTAACGACACCCCGAAATCAGTTTGCAAAACACAGTGCAATTGTGCAGAATCAGATTGCATGGGTGTGAATACACATGCAATCCAATTCTAGCGCAGACCAAAAAAAAGGGTCCTGCACCTTTTTGGTGTGATTTGAGCCATACAAAATGTATGGCTCAAATCGCACCGCACAGAATTCGCATGTGATTTGCACAGCAATGCAGTGTGGTTACTGTTTGAATCACATGCAGTATGTTGCACCGCACAAGTGTGAATCCAGGCTAAAGGTGTTTATTCCTGTTTTTAAACCAGATAGCAGATTGAACGAGTGGCCATGCCTGTATGTAATTATTTTTTTCTTTTTAGTAGTGTTTTTTTTTGGCACAATTTCAGTCTGCTGGTAGTCATGTTAATTTGCTTGTTTGAGTAAAACCATCATATATTTGATTTTATTATAGTTCCTAACTAATTACATTTAGCCTCTGTTTTAATAATGTCATGAAAGTGTTAAAGATGGCTTATCAGTATCTAATTTTAACTTTTAAGTACTAAAATGAGTTTATTTTTCTGGCAGGATTAGGCCAACCCCAAAGATCTCTGAAGAAGAACAGGACAGGAGAGCACTACTGATAAAGAAATGGGCAAATGTTAAGCTAAAAGAACATGATGCAGAGCAGAGGAGTATTGAAACTCTTCTGGAAGCGCAAAGAAAAGCTTTGGATGAGTTACGCCTTGAGTCAGAGGAGCTTTATCAAGCAGCAGTGCTCTGTGATCCAACCTTGTTTCCTCTGGAACATCAGGGACCTTTCAACACTGCACCTATACCGAAATACAATCCTCCAGATGGGAAATACAATGACATTACCCAGGTGTATATACAACAGTGAGATGGACTGCTGTGTTGTGTAAAAGTCTTCTGTCCTTTTTTTGGGGTCTGAAAATCTATTACAGCTGAGGATAAATAAATCATAGCATCACAGCAATGGACTTGGGATTTAATGCGTAGGGTTTTATTATAACCATGTAAATGTATGTTATGCAATTACAATTTGATACGGTTATGTATAAAGCAGATCACTTCTCATAGTTTGAGGGTCAAAACATTTTTTCATTTGTCAACTGTTTAGGAAGCAGATAAGACCTTTAAGGTCAGTTCACACTGAAATTAAAGGTGTGTTCTGTGTTTCCTGCAATGCGTTCAAAACGCACTGCTTTTGCAATCTGCTAAGGGTACCAATACATTATTATTATTATTGGCTCTCCAAATGCAAATCACAAACACTGTTTGCAGGAACCAGATTACAGCACCATGTGATTTGGTGTGGCAGTTTTTAAAAGTGGTGCTACTTTTTCTGTGTTCCAGTGCAGTTTGCAGCCCATTTGAAGGAATAGGCTGCCAAATTGCACAGCAGAGGAATGCAGACTGTGTTCCAGTGAAATTCTGGTGTGAGCTGAGCATTATGCTGCTCTCTACATTAAAAAAAAAAAAAAAAAAAAAGCCAAGTATACAGGTGAAACTTGAAAAATTAGAATATCATATAAAAGTTCATTTATTTCAGTAATGCAACTTAAAAGGTGAAACTAATATATGAGATAGACTCATTACATGCAAAGCAAGATAGTTCAAGCTGTGATTTGTCATAATTGTGATGATTATGGCTTACAGCTCATAAAAACCCCAAATCCACAATCTCAGAAAATTAAAATATTACATGCAATCAATAAAACAAGGATTGTACATAGAACAATATCGGACCTCTGAAAAGTATAAGCATGCATATGTACTCAGTACTTGGTTTGGGCCCCTTTTGCAGAAATTACTGCCTCAATGGGCGTGGCATGGAAGCTATCAGACTGTGGCACTGCTGATGTGTTATGGAAGATCAGGATGCTTCAATAGTGGCCTTCAGCTCTACTGCATTGTTCGGTCTCATGTCTCTCATCTTTCTCTTGGCAATGCCCCATAGATTCTCTATGGGGTTCATGTCAGGCGAGTTTACTGTCCAATCAAGCACAGTAATCCCACGGTCATTGAACCAGGTTTTGGTGCTTTTGGCAGTGTGGGCAGGTGCCAAGTCCTGCTGGAAAATGAAGTCCGCATCCCCATAAAGCTCGTCTGCGGAAGGAAGCATGAAGTGCTCCAAAATCTCCTGGTAGATGGCTGCCTTGACACTGGACTTAATGAAGCACAGTTGACCAACACCAGCAGATGACATGGCTCCCCAAATCAACACAGACTGTGGAAACTTCACACTGGACTTCAAGCACCTTGCAGTGTGTGCCTCTCCATTCTTCCTCCATACTCTGGGTCCTTGGTTTCCAAATGAGATGCAAAAGTTGCTCTCATCAGAAAAGAGGACTTTAGACCACTGAGCAACTGACCAGGTCTGTTTTTCCTTAGCCCAGGTAAGACGCGTCTGACGTTGTTTGTTGTTCAGGAGCAACTTGACAAGAGGAATACGACATTTGAAGCCCATGTCCAGGATCCGTGTGTGTGTGGTGGCTCTTGATGCACTGACTCCAGCCTCAGTCCACTCCTTGTGAAAGTCCCCAACACTTTTGAATGGCCTTTTCCTGACAATCTTCTCCAGGCTGCTGTCATCCCTGCTGCTTGTGCACCTTTTTCTTCCACACTTTTCCCTTCCACATAACTTTCTATTAATGTGATACAGCACTTTGGGAACATCCAACTTCTTTTGCAATTACCTTTTTGAGGCTTTCCCTCCTTATGGAGGGTGTCAATGATGGTTTTCCGCACAACTGTCAGGTCAGCAGTCTTTCCCATGATTGTGATTCCTACTGAACCAGACTGAGAGACCAGTTAAAGGCTCAGGAACCATTTGCAGGTGTTATGGCTTAATTAGCTGATTAGAGTGGGACACTTTGAGCCTAGAATATTGCACCTTTTCACAATAATCTAATTTTCTGAGATTGTGGATTTGGGGTTTTCATGAGCTGTAAGCCATAATCATCACAATTATGACAAATCGCGGCTTGAACTATCTTGCTTTGCATGTAATGAGTCTATCTCATATATTAGTTTCACCTTTTAAGTTGCATTACTGAAATAAATGAACTTTTGCACGATATTCTAATTTTTCGAGTTTCACCTGTATATCAAAAAACCTTGACAGATGTCAGTCACTGCCTTGGATTTGTCCTTAGTAGAGTTCCTGGCCCCATTTGAAGAAGTGTTCATTATGAAGTCATACGGGAGAGCCTCCATAGAACCGTCATTGCATATCTTGCAAAATGGCTTGGACTACCAGTGTAGGCTTTTTATTTATATTAAGCAGTTGAAAGATACCAGAAAGCAGTTGAAAATGTCTGTGCGTCTTATGGAGCAAATATCAAGCAGTCGGCCCGGTATTCCCCCGTGTTAGAATACTAGGCCGGGCTCTTGGCTCTTCTTTGCAGACCTCCAGCGGTCTTACCTGTTCCTCGGTCCAGTGCTGTCCTGTCTTCTCTCTCCTGACATGGGCACCCCAGCTGTGATAGCTTGTGGCTTCACAGCTGGATGCCCACTGCGCATGTGCGAGAAGCGCTGCGTTTTGTGAATGGCCCTGTAATCTTCTGGGACCTGTCATGTGTCCCAGAATATTACGGGGAAGGACAACTCTGAAGAAGTGGGAGCAGGTACCTGTCAAATTCGGGTACCTGCTCCCCAAAGGTCCGCTGTCTCTGGTCATCTCCTTTGCAAATGCCTGATTTCTAATGTTTTAGCCTTGGTTCACATTGTGTAGGCTGGGTGCGGGAATCGCATCTGTTCTCACACCCACAACCAAATTAAGACAATTTTATGCAAGTATTTACTGATAATTACGGTCGTAGTACAGCTTCCGAGTCCTTATATGTGGTAGCTGCATTGGTTTTCTTTTTTTTTCCCCAGGGCTATTTTTCACCTGCTGCTAACAAATTATCTGTCTAAGGGTCAAGATGCTCACTTTTTGCGCAATATCATCCCTTATCTCCGTAACAAAGGGAGGTGTTCTGGAGGACACTGAAAAGATTTGGACAGAGCTAATGATAATGCTTAGTATTTGAGTGCAACAGGTTATAAACTTATTGGATTTTTGGCAAATCAATGGATATTTTGCTGTACTTGCAGTGTTTTACAAGAGTCATATATATGGAGAGGTATCAAATGTTGTTTTTCCCCCTGACATACAGTTTAACCACCTCCCGCCTGCCATATAGTAATATGACAGACGCAAGGTGATTCTCTCGTTCTGGGAGGACGTCATATGACGTCCTCCCATTTTTACTGCGCATGCGCAGCTCAGGGAGCGCGCGGGGTGCTGTGTCCCTCGGACACAGCGGGTCACCGATCACGGAAAGAGCCGAAGATGTCTGCTCAGTCATGTGATCAGCTGTGTCCAATCACAGCTGATCGCATGTAAATAGGGAAATGCCGGTTATCGGCATTTCTCTCCTCTCGAGCTGTCACGCTGACAGCTCGAGAGGAGAGCCAGTAATCGGCTTTCCGCAGAGGGGACATGTACACTGATCATCAGGCCACTGATGATCAGTGTGCCCTGATGATCAGTGTAGCCCCAGCAGCGCCACCTGTCAGTGTCCATCAGTGCCTACCAGTGCACATCAATGCCACATATCAGTGCCCATCTGAGCTGCCTTTCAGTGCCACCTATCAATGATGCCTATTAGTGCCCATCACTGCAGCCTCATTAGCGCATATCAGTGAAGGAGAAAAATCACTTATTTACAAAAGTTTATAACAAAAACTAAGAAAAAACGTTTGTTTTTTTTTTTTTGCAAAATTTTCAGTGGTTTTTGGTTTGTTTAAGAAAAAACAAACCAAGAGGTGATTAAATACCACTAAAATAAAGCTCTGTCACAAAAAAATGATAATTTCATATGGGTACAGTGTTGCATGACGTCACAATTGTCAAAGTGTGACAGCGCTGAAAGCTGGAAATTGGCCTGGGCAGGAAGGGGGTATAAGTGCCCGGTAGGCTAGCAGTTAAAGTAATGTGTGTTTATGTGAAAACAAGTCATGACTAAGCTTTGGCAAGAATCAGTCTGGAAGGAGACAACAGTCATTATTGGAAGGGTCCCTACTCTCATGGTAATAAATATTGCAAAAGTAATATCACAATGTCATCTGCAAAACCTCAGCAAAGTTTAGCTCGAACACTACACAGGTTAGACTAAGTTTTCTGATCAAAACAGAATATCTAAATTTACTTGCATTTTATTCATGAAACACGTTTCCATTATGTACTGACACCTTTTACAATTGTCTTCCAGAACACAAAGGTGCATGTTAAGTGAATGACGTTGCTCACATAAATGTAATTTCAGTGCTTGCGCAGATCAAATTGCAACACGAACAGCATCAAAATCAATTTTATGTTTTTATTTCATTCGTTTTTCATAAACTCATGTTAGCTGTAGCTTTCTAGATGAACCAGATCCATGCTTCTAAATAAAGGAAGCAGAATACATAAAAAGAGCCATCTCAGAGATATTTCACGTCCATAGAAATTAAAGAGTCACTCTTCATATTCATTGCAAAGTTAGTCTCATTGTTTAGGATTATCTATCCAGTGGCAGGTTCCAGTCTGCAGGAGGACACTTCCTCATTGTCCACACGGGATTGCTGTTCTGGTTTTCATTTTGCCGAGCCTTCTCACTCTGTAGTAGAGCTTCCTGTACATATATTATAAAACAAATACAGTGTCATTAGTAAAATCTTCAATATGCTTACAAAGTAATGCTCTGCTGCAGGCTACACTCCTCTGCCCCAACCTCCCAGCTACAGGGAGCACAGAAATGTGTTCATAGTTGTGGGCTGCTGAACTTGCAACAATCCAGTGCTCCAAAAATGAAGGGAGAAGAAAAATGAAGGGAGAGCCTGTAAAGCGATGTACCAAGTACCACAAAACAATCCTCATAAGTTTTACTCCTCTAACAAGCATAAAGGGTAACTCCCCTTTGTGGAACAAAAAAAAAAAATTGTATATAAAATTGTGACACAAGTCATATAGTAATTTGTTATTAACTGCTGCCCCACCGCCCTATAGTAGAACTACTGTGGTGGGGCTCTGCAAAATCACATTATATATATATATATATATATATATATACACACATTTATTTGCATTTCCAGGTAGGAGGCGCGCGCCGCCATTGGCGGTTAGGCATGTCAATAACTGGGTCCCAGCTGGAGATTCCCTGGCGATACCCAAGTACCACTGACAGGGGAGAGACTTTTGTGTAAACAACACAGGTCTCTCTCCTGTCAGCAAGCACAGCAGAGAAATACACAGCAGCATGCTTACCTAGTAAAACACACACAACACAGCACATAACTTAAAACACAGCACACAGGTAACCCTTTGATCGCCCTAGATGTGAACCCCTTCCTGCCCAGTGTCATTTGTAAATAATGTCTACCTTTATATTGTAAAGCGCTTCGCAAACTGTTGGCGCTATATAAATCCTGTATAATAATTAGTACAGTGTCAGTGCTTTTTATTAGCACCGATCACTGTATTAGTGTCATTGGGATGTCGGTGGCAGTTAGTTCCCACCCAGTGTCAGAATGCCCACTGCAGTCCTGCTATAAGTCGCTGATCGCTGCCATTACTAGTAAAAAATAAAAATTCCAGTATATATACCGCCATTTGTAGACACTATAACTCACATAAACCAAATAATTTACATGTATTGGGATTTTTCATGTAGCAGAATACCATTTGACCTAAATTTATGAAAAATATTTATTTTTTTACTGGATGTTTTATAGCAAAAAGTCAAAAATCCTATATATTTTTTCAAAATTCTTGGCCTTTTTTTTTTTTTGTTTATGGCGCAAAAAATTAAAAACGCACAGGTGATCAAATACCACCGAAAGTAAGCTCTATTTGTGGGAAAAAGGGACGTAAATTTAATTTACAACATTGCATGACTGCACAATTGTCAGTTAAAGTAACGCAGCGCTGTATCGCACAAAATTGCCTGGTCAGGAAGGGGGGTAAATCCTCTGGAGGGCAAGTGGTTAAAGATTACCTTTCCTTTTCAATCTGCAGCACTGTAAGTTTCTTTAAAATTCAATGCAATATGGCAACTTGGAGGCGTTCGTGCACAGTTGGTGTACAGAAAGCCCACAGGGATGCTATTTCTTGCTTGTGTGAGCAGCTCACTGATTTTCCCAGAAGCCTGCATTAAGATACAAGTCAGATTTGGTGAGATGCTTCTTAAGAGTTAATCACGTCTAAAGCAATGCAGACCCCTTCCACACTCCTCATCAGAGCCCTGCAAGTGCAGCAGCTGATCAAAAATGAAAAAGTCACTCCCGTTCAGAATTGGTCCTGCATAAGACATGATCCAACAAAACATTCAGTTCCACACAGGTGCTACAACCCGATTCACCCTTCGTCAGGCTGTGGTATGGTGCCCTACTGTACCAGACTAGTAGCTTCCAAGTAAATAGTCATGAATGAAAGTCGGCAACAAGGTGAAAATAGAAAAAAAAAAATCTCCTTTATTGAGAACAAGGAGTAAAATGTTCCATAGCCCAACACACTCTAATGTAATTCTGTCCAGAAAAATACCTTATTCATAGCCTGTGGAACTGTATGCGGGTGATCTAACAAAGAGCTATTCCTTCTGAGCAGAAACAAGTAGGAATCTGCAACAATGTTTGTTAAAGAAGTATAGCCAAAGCTCGATGGCTGTACTCCTGTGGATCACAGGAGTGTAGTTCGTTCTGCACTCATGGTGACCCATTTTCAGCCAAAAGCAGGCTAATGGCTGATGTCAAAGACACGGTCCAGGCTGGGGAAAGATCACAACCATATAGTTGAGATCCACCAAGGAGCCTGGACCAGCACTTGGCTCTCAACCTCTCAACAAGCCACTGAGAGCCTCAGCCAACAGCCCTCCACAACCCACTGCTCCAGTGAGCACTGGGGGGTGTGGGGGTCAGGGCAGAGGGTGGTGACTGACAGTCACCACTCTGCTTAGAGCGGCAAGGAGAAAACTGAGCAATCAGTGGTGTCTGCTCAGTTCTCACCCTTAGAGCAGGCAGGTGACAGATGCTGCATCCACCTACGTAAGTATGATTTTAAAGAAAATAAAAATATCTCTTAAAATCCTTGCAATGTATAGTTCACCCAAAGATTTTTTTTTTTCTCAACAAAAGTGGAGTTACTCTTTAATCATAAGTTCCTATGATTCCTGAGGAGCTTCTTTGAAGAGTTAAATGTGTGAGCCATTTTCTGGCACTAGGTGGAATTAGGTACATTGGTTTGACTGATGTACTGTATATACAGTTAGGTCCATACATATTTGGACACAGGCACAATTTTCATACTTTTGGCTCTGTATGCCACCAGAATAAATTAAAACAATCCAAATGAATTTGAAGTGCGGACTTTCAGCTTTAATTCAAGGGATTGAACATAAATATCAAGTACAAATTTTAGGAACTGCAGCCATTTTTAAACAGTCCCTCCATTTTCAGGGGCTCAAATGTAATTGGACAAATGAATATACAGTTGCAAGAAAAAGTATGTGAACCCCCTATTAAGTTTTCATGAATTGGGCATAAAATGTGCTCTGAACGTTTTCACAACAATAGAAGAACACAGTCTGCTGAATAATACTTTAGATGTTGCCAGGTTTAATAACATGTAAACATTCACAGTGTAGGGAGGAAAACGTATGTGAGGCCCTAGCTTAATGACCTCTCCCAGAGCTAATTGGAGCCAGGAGTGAGCCAACCTTGACTCCAATCAGTGTGATGATATTGGATGTGTTGCTGACAGCTGTCTTGCCCTTAAAAAACACACACCTGTTTTGGGTTTACTGGTTTCAAGAAGCACTGTCTGATGTGAACCATGCCTCGCAGAAATGAGCTCTCAGAAGACCTACGATCAAGAATTGTTGACTTGCATGAAGCTGGAAAGGGTTACAAAAGTATCTCTAAAAGCCTTGATGTTCATGTGTCCACGGTAAGACAGACTGTCTACAAATGGAGAAAGTTTAGCACTGTTGCTACTCTCCCTAGGCCTGGTCGTCCTGTAAAAATGACTGCAAGAGCACAGCGCAGAATGCTGCATGAGGTAATGAAGAATCCCAGAGTGTCAGCTAAAGACCTACAGAAATCTCTGGCACATGCTAACATTTTTGGTGACACATCTACAATAAGAAAAACATTAAACAAGAATGGAGTAAATGGGAGGACACCACGGAGGAAGCCATTGCTGTTCAAAAAGAATATTGCAGCATGTTTGAAGTTTGCAAAAGAGCACCTGGATGTTCCACAGCACTACAGGCAAAATATACTGTGGACAGATGAAACCAAGATTGAGTTGTTTGGGAAGAACACACAACACTATGTGTGGAGAAAAAAAAATAAAACATGGTGGAGGGAGCATCATGGTTTGGGGCTGCTTTGCTGCCTCAGGGCCTGGACGGATTGTTGTCATTGATGAAAAATGAATTCCAGAGTTTATCAAGACATTTTGCAGGAAAACGTACGACCATCTGTCCGCCAACTGAAGCTCCGCAGAGGATGGGTGATGCAACAGGACAATGACCCAAAGCATACAAGTAATTCAACAAAACAATGGCTGCAACAGCACAGAATACGCCTTCTGGAGTGGCCCAGTCAGAGTCCTGACCTCAACCCAATTGAAATGCTGTGGCATGACCTTAAGAGAGCGATTCACACCAGACATCCCAAGAATATTGCTACACTGAAACAGTTTTGTGAAGAGGATTGGTCCAAAATTGCTCCAGATCGTTGTGCAGGTCTGATCTGCAACTACAGGAAACGTTTGGTTGAGGTTTTTGCTGCCAAAGGAGGGTCAACCAGTTATTAAGTCCAAAGGTTCACATACTTTTTCCTCCCTGCACTGTGAATGTTTACATGCTATGTGCAATTAAACCATGGCAACATCTAATGTTTGTGTAGTATTATGTTCAGCAGACTGTGTTTCTTCTATTGTTGTGACTTAGTTGACGTTCAGAGCACATTTTATGCCCAATTCATGCAAAATCCACGTAATCCCAAGGGGTTCACATACTTTTTCTTGCAGCTGTAATCATAAATAAAAATGTTCATTTTGTAATATTTTGTTGAGAATCGCCAGAGCTAACCCTCCTCATCCTCCCGCCTGGAAACTGGAGCCGTGCTGCTTGGTTCCACCCTGTATCGTGTGACTAGCAGAGCAGGGTGACCCTGGTACATGGGGATTCCTACCTCCAGAGCTGGTCAGCTCTAGTAGATTTTACCCCCTTCCTGACCAGGCTGTTTTTCGCTATGCAACACTGCGCTACTTTAACTAATAATTGTGTGGGTTTTTTTTACACAAATAGAGCTCTCATTTGGTGGTATTTGATTATCTGGGTTTTTGTTCATTATGTGAACAAAAATAAAATCAAAAATTTTGAAAAAAAAATTTTTTTTAATTTCTACTATAAAAAAAAAATATATATCTTTTAATACATTTTTGGCCAAATTGTATTCTGCTACATGTCTGTGGTAAACAAAAAAACCCAATAAATATACAGTTACGTCCATATATATTTGGCACAGGCACAATTTTAGTTTTTTTTAGGTATTTACCAAAACATATTCAAGCTATAGTTATATAATGGACTGGGCTGAAAATGCACACTCTGTGTTTAATTTGAAGGTATGTACATCCAAATTGGAGAAAGGGTTTAGGAATTTCAGCTCTTAAAAGTAGCCATCCCCTCTTTTTCAAGGGACCAAAAGTAACTGGACAATTGAATATAATCATAAATAAAAAATGTTCATTTTTAATAGTTTGTTGAGAATCCTTTACTGGCAATGACTGCCTGAAGTCTGGAACCCATGGATATTACCAGAGACTGGGTTTCCTCCTTTCTGATGCTTTGCCAGGCTCTAACTGCAGCTGTCTTCAATTCTTTGTTTGTGAGTCTTTCTGCCTTTAGTTTTGCCTTCAGCAAGTGAAATGCATGCTCAATTGGGTTGAGATCAGGTGATTGACTCGGCCATTGCAGAATATTCCACTTATTTTTCTTTCAAAAGCTCCTGGGTTGCTTTTGCAGTGTGTTTTGGATCATTGTCCATCTGTACTGTGAAGCGCCGTCCAATCACCTTTGCTGCATTTGGCTGAATCTGGGCTGAAAGTATATGTCTAAACACAGCAGAATTCATCCGGCTGCTTCTGTCTTCTCTTACATAATCAACAAACACCAATGGCCCAGTGTTGCTGGAAGCCATGCATGCCCATGCCATCACACTGCCTCCACCATGTTTTACAGATGACGTTGTGTGATTTAGATCATGAGCTGTTCCATGCCTTCTCCACACCTTTTTTCCCGTCATTCTGGTACAGAGTAATCTTAGTTTCATCTATCCAAAGAATGCTTTTCCAGAACTGGTCTGGCTTTTTTCAGATGTATTTTGGCAAAGTCTAATCTGGCTTTTCTATTCTTCAGGCTTATGAATGGTTTGCACCTTGTGGTGAACCCTCTGTATTTGCTCTTGAGAAGTGTTCTCTTGATTGTAGACTTTGACAATGATACACCCACCTCCTGGAGAGTGTCCTTCACTTGTCTGGATGTTGTGAATGGGTTTTTCTTTACCATAGAAAGGATCCTGTGATCATCCACCACTGTTGTCTTCCATGGACGTCCATGCCTTTTTATGTTGCTGAGCTCACCAGTGCATTCTTCTTTCCTCAGAATGTACCAAACTGTTGATTTGGCCACTCCTAATGTTGCTGCTATCTCTCTGATGGATTTGTTTATGCAAGTGAAAAAGGCCATTGTAAGGCTTCAAAAACTAGACAGCTCCTTTGAACGCATGATGTAGGTTCACAGCAATAGATTCCAAATGTAAATACCACACTTAGAATCAACTCCAGAGCTTTTACCTGCTTAATTGATGAAGAAATAACGAAGAAGTAGCCCACACCTGGCCATGAAACAGCATTTGATTCAATTGTCCAATTACTTTTGGCTACTCTTAAGAGCTGTAATTCCTAAACCCTTTCTCCAATTCGGATGTACATACCCTCAAATTAAACCTGAGAGTGTGCACTTTCAGCCCATATTCATTATATAAAACTATACCTTGAATATGTTTTGGTAAATACCTGAAAAACTAAAATTGTGCCTGTGTCCAAATATATATGTACCTAACTGTATACATCCTTGCAGGAAGTGGTTATACCAGGATCATGGCTGTAAATGCCAACCAATACAGGATAACCTCTCCTACTACCACACACTTTATTTTGCTACTGTCATAGAAGGTTTGAGGTCTTTTCTTCTACTGTGCCACGAAGAGACTAACATTTCCTGTTTTTTTTTTTACTTTCAAGATTCTCGACAATGCTGCTACAGCTGGTCTCTACTATTACAGCTATCCAGCTCAGCCTATCCTTGGCTTGGCCTTTGGAGCGCAGTGGCCTTACCACTAGATTAAAAGTTGTGGGACTAGCCTATTACTGTAGACTATTTTGGCTCTTATTGATGCAGTGCACACCATTTTAAAACAGGAAGATGAGCCTAGTGTTTTGACTAGTGCTGCCCCCAGCCTGGTGTCTTTCAGAGTACCTAAAGGCTCCATTTGCATCAGTGTTCAGCCACACTGCAAATTCCAGCAGCAAGAGGCTACTTACTCCTGTGGCTGGGATGGACAGCTACCTACGGATAGCTATGGCCACCAAATCAGTAAACTGCAATGAAAGGCTATCTGCTGCCACAACTATTTATGACTGTTCACAGTGCCAATGATTACCTGCAGCGATCACAGCTAGAGGCACACAAAGTGGACAATTCGTGTCCAACAAATTAGAGCTGATCTATGCCAAACAGAATGCTACATTCATTATTATTATTATTATACAGTATTTATATAGCGCCAAAGGGTTTGCTCAGCACTGTACAATAGCAAGGGGGACAGAACATGAGACCAGACAGAAACAATACAATACACGAGGGGTTCGAGGGCCTTGCTCTTTCGAGCTTACAATCTAGGAGGAGATATGAACATGTTTTATGTCCCACCTTTGCTGTCTGGCTTTTTTTCCTTTCCCACTCTTGGCAAGCTGCATAGTCTGCCTTCCACTGCTGGCAGGCTGGTTTTTCTCCATGAGTGTAGTAGTAATGAAAACGATGCCTTAGGCTCTTACAGTGTTTCCATTCATCCCAGTAGTCATTACAGTCACGGGGAGGCTTGTATAAAAAAAAACAAAAAAACATTTTACTCTCACCACACACAAACAAAAGATATATTTACGATTATATTGAATTATTAAATTGCATCTAAATTTCCCTTTCCTTTTGCAGTTGAAAACAGCACCATCCCAAGCTGGCCATACACTGATTGAAATGTGTCTGGTTAAGCAGGGACTGGCCAAATTTTGATCAGTGTGTGGAAGTTCCCACTCAACAGAAGTCAATCATTTGGACGTCAGATAAAACAACAGACATTTATGCTTTGTGTCAGCGTCTAAACTCTTAAATTACTATATGTGGAGGCTGCTGCGTATATATACTGTACATACACACCGTGTGTGTATATATGCGCATTATAACATTTTTATATTAGATACTTAGATTTAGGAAATTTTTGTTTAACCGCTTCCCCTCTGCCCTATAGGAGAAATACTGCTACAGGGTGGCAGGAGTGTGCAAAATCATATGTATATATAAGTGATTTTGCATTTCCGGGCAAGGGGCACGCACCCGCCCTACCCACGCCTCCATTTGCGACCATGGCTGTCAATCACCGGGTCCCGGCCGGTGATCACCAAGTATCTCTGACTGGGGAGAGACCTGTATGTAAACACTACAGATCTCTCCCCTGTCAGCTCCTGCACACTGCTTTGTATGGATTTGCATAACAGAGCCATACAAAGCAGTATGCTTACAGTGAAGAACAAACACACACACAGCCCCCATAGTGACACAGCACACAGTTAACCCTTTGATCACCCCAGATGATTACCCCTTCATGCCCAGTGCCATTAGTACAGTGTCAGTGCTTTTTATTATCACTGTATTGGTGTCACTGGGGATGCCAGGGACACCAAGTCAGTTTCCCCCTAGTGCCAGAATGCCCGCCGCAGTCCCGCTACAAGTCGCTAATTGCCGCCATTACTAGTAAATCATTTTTTTTAAAATCACAGTATATATACCATTAGTAAACACTAAAAAAAAATTCCCTTAAAACAATTAATTTCCAAGTATTTGAAATTTTTTTAGCAAAGATGTGTAGAATACATTTTGGGCTAAATTTATGACGAAATTTGATTTTTAAATTTTTTTTTTCTCAAAATTGTTGGTCTTTTTTTATTTATAGCCCAAAAAATAAAAACACCAGGCGATCAAATACCACTGAAAGAAAGCTCAATTCTTGAGGGAAAAAAAAGATATAAATATCATTTGGGTGCAGCATCGCATGACCGCGCAAATGTCAGTTAAAGTAACGCAGCGCCGTATCGCAAAGAATGGCCTGGTAAATCCTCTGGAGGGCAAGTGGTTAATAAATGTTTTGTGCTCATTCACAACTATGCAAATGCATTTGAGCAGGCATCATAACACACACATAGGTGTGACTAGGCACTCATGATTGTTATGATGTGGCAATGTATGTAATGCCTGTTGGTTCGCTGTGGAGCTATTCATTCTTAAAGCATCAGATTTAAAAAATCCCCTGCAAAGCAATGTTATAATATGCTAGTATATATTGCATACTAGCACAATATGAAATACTTATCTTAGAACAAAGCCCTCCAGCGGTGCGCTGTTACTGCTTCCATCTTCACCTGGTCTTCATTCCAGGTTTGAAAGCTCCAAGCCGTGATGACGTCACTCCAGCGTGGGAGTCCCGGGCCGCAGCACAGTGCTTGGAAGGAACAGCACGGGTATGCTATTCCTTCAGAGCACATGTGCTGGCTGCCAAAAACAGCAAATATCTCCTAAACGGTGCATGTTTAAGTCCTCATACACACTGGGAAATTTAAAAACGACGGTAAAAACGACGGTAAAATTAGCTGTTTAACCAAATGCTGCCCAGCCACTGTAGAAATACAGTGGCAGGGCGGCACGGCTGGGCAAAACCACGTTTTAAAACATGTGTTTTTAAAACAGGTAGGGGGCGCGCGAGGCGTGCCGCCGCTCTACCTGTCCCGCCGATCACGGCCCCGGATGTCAGTCGCCGGGTCACAGCCAGTCGTTACCAGCTATGTCCCGGCAATCAGTGACAGAGAGCACAGCTGCAGTAGCTGTGCTTTCTGTCAGTTCCCTGACAGCTCCTGACATGCTGATCAGGACAGAAGAGTTTATCTGTCCCGATCAGCGGTGTTCCCTGCAGTACACCCCCCCGCCCCCTAGTAAAATACTCCCCTCACACAGTTAACCCTTTCCCTGAATAATAAACTTAACCCCTTCCTCCCCAGTGCCATTAGTACAGTGTCAGTGTTTTTTTGTTTTTGCACTGATCACTGTATTGGTGTCACTGGGGATGTCAGTGACCCCAAGTCAGTTCCCCCCCAGTGTCAGAATGTTTGCCGCTGATCGCCACCATAAGTCGCTGATTGCCGCATTAGTATAAAAAAAAAAATTAAAAATCCCAGTATCTTTCCCGCCATTTGAAAACGCTATAACTTTCACGTAAACCAATTTATTTACACGTATTGGGGTTTTTTGTAGCAAAAACATGTCCCAGAATGCATTTTGGCAGAAATTTATGACTAAATTTTGATTTTTTAATTTTTTTTACTGGACATGTTTTTTTAGCAAAAAGTCCAAAATATTGTTTTTTTTTTTTCCCTCAAAATTGTCAGGATTTTTTTTTATAGCACAAAAAATAAAAACGCACAGGCGATCAAATACCATCGAAAGAAAGCTCTATTTGTGGGGAAAAAAGGGATGTAAATTTCATTTATGTACCGTATTGCATGACCGCGCAATTGTCCATTAAACTAGAGCATCGCTGTATAGCAAAACAATGGCGTAAATTGCAGTATCTATACCATAGTTTGTAGACGCTATAACTTTCACACAAAGCAATCAATATACACTTATTGGGATTTTTTTTACCAAAAACATGTAGCAGAATACATTTTGGCCTAAATTTATAACCAACTTTGAGTTTACTATATATTTTTTTTATAGCTAAAAGTAAAAAATATTGTTTTTTCTTCACAATTTTTGGTCTTTTTTTTTTATAGCGTGAAAAGTAAAAAGCACACAGGTGATCAAATACCACCGAAAGAAAGCTCTATTTGTGTGAAAAAAAGGACGTAAATTTCGTTTGGGTGCAGCATTGCATGACCGCGCGCAATTATCAGTTGAATTAGTGCAGCGCCGAGAAGCAAAAAGAGGCTTGGTCATTAAGGGGGATAAATCCTCAGGAGGGCAAGTGGTTAAAGTTACGTAACAAATGCAAGTTTTTCCACATTTTTTAACATTTTTGCATTAGCATGTAGCTGTGATTTTTTTTTCCCATTAATGGTTTTTAGGGGGGTTTTTTTTTTTTTTTTTTAACACACAAAAAAATTTGCTCAAAGAACGCCCCAAAACGCCAGTTTGCTGTTTTTCCACATTTACCAGCATTAGAGATTTTTTACAGCTAAAAAAACTCTTGAAACCCACTAGTTCTGGGGTTTTTTTTCCAGCCAAAAAACGCCCTTGCCACATAAACGCTGATTAAAGCCTGTGTGTGCATGGACACATAGGATAACATGCTGGGGAGTTTACTGGCTGTAGAAAAAAAATGCCAAAAGCCAAAAACAGCCACTGTAAAAAAAAATGTCCCGTGTGCATGAAGAACGTGCTGGCAGGGGAATTGGCTGCTGTCTAAATTGTCCCTAGTATGTGTATGTGTATGAATGTGAGTTAGGGACCTTAGATTGTACGCCCCTTGAGGGTTAGGGACTGATGTGAATGTACAATATATATGTAAAGTGCTGCGTAAATTGACAGTGCTATATAAGTACCTGAAATAAAAAATGAAGACGAAGATATTTATTTGATCTACAGGTAAGCTCTTCCTGTAGGTAAAAATCAAAGTGGACTTTATAACCGCTTAAGAAGTTTGGGGTTGTTAAAAAAAACACAAGCAACCCTACTCATCTCACTGCTGCAGCATCGCTCTGGTGCTGTCACCCACCAGTTATAAGACCGAGAACATAGTGTTCACATGACTGCTGATCACTCCATCTTCTAGAAACGGAGAGCAGCGACTGTCATTCACCACTCTCTGCTCTGCCACTCCAGCAATCACTAGAGCTCCAGGCTGGAGGGGGGGTGGGTGCAGCTGGATTCCGCTGCGTGGGTCATGACAATATGTTGGGGATCCCTCCAGATCTTGGAGCGGCTCTGTGACATCAGCTGAACATGGCTCAAGGAGGCCCAACAGGCCAAAAGAGAAGACATAGGAGTTCATTATTAGCAGGTTTACATAGACCTCAACACACTGACTGCGTCTGGCAACTAAGTGCAGCCGGGGCCACTATTCATGTTATGTGGATCTATGTACTGAAAGGAGCAGGCCATCCCTTCTGTTATCATCGGGGAATACTAGCACCGGCCATCCTCCATATCACTCCTCACTGGCTGCCTGTCATTGCCAATATCACCGAACACACTGTCCTCTTCTGCCCTTCACCGCCTACACTGCCACTCACCGCTACACACACTCACCCTCCACAGCCCAGCCATGCTTCCTTCATCAGTCCCACCCACTTCACCCTCTGACCAATCACTTCGCACATTCTGAACAACCAATGGGAGCAGGAACGAAAGTGGACCTGCTAGAAGAGAGGGCGGGATCCAAGCGTGCTTGCGTGTATATGTATTTCCTGCCGCATGTGATTGGTTGGACGTCAGAGCCCTGTGAGAAGCATAGACCTGGGAGGACTGAACATCGTTATGTGAGAGCGCCGCTCTGAGGAAGAGAAGCTGCACCGGGAATCATAGAGGCTGCCATTGGACAACTGTCTACAAATCAGCTGTGCTCCGGGCTAAATCAGGTGATGAAACTCATCAATCCTCTAGCTAAAGCCGCACTTTCAGAACTAAATAAACATTGGAACAGTATGGTAGGCAGTTACAGAAAACTAAACTCCTATACACTATATAGTGGGAGAGTAAATACATTGTATGGTGGGAAATAGAAAAATAAATCGGTAAACACTGTACAATGATCAAGTAAATAAAAATAAACCCATATAAATGGTGCGGTGGGGAATATTATAAAAATAAACCCATATAAACTAGATGGTGGGAAATTAAATAAAAATAACCCCATATAAATTGGTGGGAAATATTATAAAAAAATAAACCCATATACAGTGAGCAATTAAATAAAAATTAACCCATATAAATTGTATGGTGGGGAATATTATAAAACTAAATCCATAAACACTATACAGTGAGCAATTACAATAACAATAAACACATATAAATTGTATGATGGGGGGAATATTATAAAAATAAACCCATATAAACTATATGGTGGGAAATATTATAAAAATAAACCCATATAAATTGTATGGTGGGGAATATTATTATAAAAATAAACCCATATACAGTGAGCAATTAAAAAAAAAAACCCATATAAATTGTATGGTGGGGAATATTATAAAAATAAATCCATAAACACTATACAGTGAGCAATTAAATAAAAATAAACCCATATAAATTGTATGGTGGGGAATATTATAAAAATAAATCCATAAACACTATACAGTGAGCAATTAAATAAAAATAAACACATAAATTGTATGGTGGGGAATATTATAAAAATAAACCCATATAAACTATATGGTGGGAAATATTATAAAAATAAACCCATATAAATTGTATGGTGGGGGAATATTATAAAAAATAAACCCATATACAGTGAGCAATTAAATAAAAATAAAACCATATAAATTGTGGGAATTTTTATAAAAAAAAAACCCATAAACACTATACAGTGAGCAATTAAAAAAAATAAAATCATATAAATTGTGGGAATTTTTATAAAAAATAAACCCATAAACACAATACAGTGAGCAATTAAATAAAAATAAAACCATATAAATTGTGGGAATTTTTATAAAAATAAATCCATAAACACTATACAGTAGGCAAGTAAATAAAAATAAAACCATATAAATTGTGGGAAATTATATAAAAATAAACCCATAAACACCATACAGTGAGCAATTAAATAAAAATAAAACCATATAAATTGTATGGTGAGACATTTTATAAAAACAAACCAATAAACATTATACAGTGAGCAATTAAATAAAAATAAACCCATATAAATTGTATGGTGGGGAATTTTATAAAAAATAAACCCATAAACACTATACAGTGAGCCATTAAATAAAAATAAACCCATATAAATTGTATGGTGAGAAATTGTATAAAAAATAAACCCATAAACACCATACAGTGAGCCATTAAACAAAGATCAACTCATATAAATTCTATGGTGAGAAATTTATAAAAATAAACCCATAAACACTATACAGTGAGCAATTACATAAAAAATAAACCCATATAAATTGTATGGGGGGGAATTTTATAAAAATAAACTATATGGTGGGTAATTAAATAAAAATATCCCCCCCAATAAACTATATAGTTGGCACCTAAAAAAAAAAAAAAAAAATATGAATTGTATAGTGGGCAATTAAATAAAATAAAATACATAAATGTGTGTAGTGGGTAATTAAATAAAAATAAACAGATATAAATAATTGTATAGTTTGACTTAAACAAAATAAAGCCATCTGAACTATATGGTGGGTAATTAAATAAAAATAAACTAACTACTGATAAACTGTATAGTGGACACTCAAATAAATATATATATATATGTGTGTGTGTGAATATATAATATATATATATATAAATAATATGTATAGTGGGCAATTAAATTATGTTAGAGACTGCATAAAATATGACAAATGTCACAAAAGGTAGAAGTTGAAACAGGAACTCACAATTCCCCATTTACAGAAATGGGGGACAAACATCAGGCCATGCAAAGTCACAGAAGAAAATTCAATGTGTGACAATGAAAACTATACGTAGAGTATAAATGACATAACATAGTTCTCATGAGACCTAAACATGGAGTTCCAGCTGAACTATACACCTAGAATAATGCAGCATAAGGAGGAATGATACATAAAATCAGACTACCTATCCCACGGGAAGGGGGGGGGTGGGGGCTCAGTAACACCTTAAACATGTACCTGAGGAGTTGTGGAAAAGAAAAAAAGAGAAAGAAGAAAAAAAAGGAGAAATAGAAAAGAATTGAGGAAAAAAAAACTAGAAAGAAGGAGAATGGGGAGTGTCTGTAGCAATATACACTCATGAGATATAACTAAAACAGCTGAGAAGAGGGCCCTTTTGAACAAATTGGAGGATGAATGCATGATCTAAAATTGTCCAAAGTGCAATAAACTTGGTGATGTTTCATGTTATTGGGCAAACAGTTTCTCCATTCTCACCATATCATTCATAAATCATGCACACAATTTTGGAGGGACAGAGTACAAGGCAATTTCCACATGGAGTGGGCAATTAAATAAAAAAAAACCCATATACACTATATAGTTTATTAATTATACAGGATAGAAGAGGCCCTTATTATAGCGCCAACAGTTTGTGCACAGCGCTTTACAATATAAGGGGGACTGGGGGTAAGAACAATTACAATACATTTCCGTACAAGAAGGAATTGGAGGGCCCTGCTCGGTTGAGGAGCTTACACCTGGTTAATTTAAAGGAAGGGATAAAACCAAGGAGTAAGCTGTCTCTGTGATACAAAAGATGATAGCTGCAGAGGATGATCTGGTGGAGGTGATTCAAGTACAGTTCTTAGGTGGAGGTGGGTGTTTGGGAGGCTATCCCTGAAGAAGTGGCGTTTTCAAAGATCACCTAAAGGCAGACAGGGTGGGGGCTGACCGGACATACTGTGGTAGGGAGTTCTAGAGGATGGGAGAGGCTCTGCGATGGAGTGCGAGTCCTGGAGGTGAGCGTGGGAGGATGGTGATGAGGGAGTTAGAGAGGAGGATTCTTGGGAGGCAGCGGAGTGGGCAATTGGGGCGGTATCTGCTAATGGAGGTTGGCGATTTAGCTAGGGGCAGTGTTTGTGGGATGGCTTTCTAAGCTGTGGTTAGAATTTTAAATTTTATACGTTGGGTTAGTGGAAGCCAATGAAAGCTCGCCTTTTATTGTTTTTAAAAATAATAGTCTGATTAAATGAAATAGGCAACGTTATTCTAGGATTTTCAATATAGAACAACATGTCGTCTCTGCGTATGCTGCCACCTTATGCTTCTTCTACCCTACAAGGAGAGGAAACGTATCCTTTATTCCTGCTTATACCAACAATTAGAAATTGTAGTGGGTGAGGGGAAGCTAATTCAAGGCATGCACTGGAAAAGGCATAAGCTGAAAAGTTTACATAGGTGCCCTGTAGGGAAAAGATGGGGGAAGGGGTTGGGAAAGGACGATTAACAAACCTTTGTGGGTCAATGATAATATAAACTCTAAGGGGGAGTTTTGCTACATCAACATTATAAAAGAATGGGAGAGGCACGAGAAGAGGCCTTCTCCAAAAGATGATACATGTTCAAAACCTAAAGATTACAAAGAAATCCAGATTGCATTGGTAGTATTGCAGATGTAGCGCAAGCACTATCCGAAAAATATGTTTAAGGACAGATTTGACAGGAGGTTAGGAAAAGACAAACAGTAGAGAGACACGGACAACAACAACACCAAAAAAAAAAAAAAAAAAGGGGGGGGGGGGGGGGGCTCCCGAGGCGATCACAGCGAAATCCATCCTCATATCGACAGAAGGGACTGGTCAAATCTCGAAGGTTGAGATATATCCAGCCAGGGACGCCATATCTGCAGAAATTTTGTATGGGTATCCAACAATATGGCCGTCAGTTTTTCATTAACCATTATGAAGTTCATTCGGTTTTTGACAGCCTCAAAACTAAGGAGAGGAGTTTTCCAAGCTCTCGCAATTGTCAATTTAGTTGCCATAAATAAAAATGATGCCAGCTGCCGTTCAGAACGGAGGAGGCCCTCCAGCGGTTTAAATAGAAGCGCTTCATACGGGTTACGCTTAATGTCTGCGTGAAGGATAGTGCGGAGGAGGGCATACACTCTGATCCATAATCTACTTACTTTAGGGCAAGTCCACCAGATATGAGCCATAGTACCCAATTGTTGGCATCCCCGAAAACAGACCGGGGAATATGTAGGGATAAAACTAGCTAGACGAGCAGGCGTATAATACCATCGGTATAGAATTTTGTAGGCATTCTCAAGAATAATGACATTCCTAGAACATTTAGATAGTGCTTGGGTCATGTTCTGCCAGTCCTGTTGATCCAAGGTCCCCCCTACTTCAGACTGCCAACGCTGATGATAGGAGCGAACTGGAAGGGTTCTATAAGATATAATGGAAGAATACATCAAGGAAATCAAACCCGGAGCATGAGGTCTATGTCTGCACTGGCTTTCAAAGGGGGACAGATGGTAAGGTCCCGGATGCGTGCGTATTAGTGTATTAATAAAGTGACGAAGTTGAAGATAACCAAAATGTTCTCGGAGAGGGATGTTATAAGAAGAACGCAGAGCGTCAAAGGTAATTATTCTAGTGGGAGATAGGAGTGAGTGAACATCATAAAAACCATGCGTCTGCCACCAGGCAAACTGTCTAGGATTATCCCTACCTGGAGGGAATAATGGGTTATGCAATATAGACGTAACAGCGGCAGGTGAGGAGAGATAAGGCCAGCGGAATA